TCCTAGATGCCCTCATAAGACCATATCCTCACTCAGGCATACCGCATACCTTCAAATAAAGGGGAAATAATTTAATACACTAAGCCATCCGAATTAATACAAACGTAATTCTTCTTCAACTTACAAAAGATAACAATTTCTCTCACGAAAAGACACGTCATCATTCCAAAAAAAATTTAGTTTCCCGCCGATTTTCATCCTATAGCAGTCATATGAAAGATTGTAATCACAATCACTTATACACGTATATATCGATCTGCTATTTCTATTATCAAATACCCAATAGTTCTTCTCATAATTGGACAACACTATTATGGTGGAGACAATTAGGACCTTAAACAAGAATGACTTGTGGATATCACAAAACCAGCCAAACATCCTACTGTATCAACAAACCCTCTGTTCCATCACCAACAGAAGCAGTAGCAGCTGTCGTTTTGCTTGACTCGAATCAATTCTTTGCCAATTATGAGAAGAAAATGCATGAACATTGGCTTTGGCTCTATACATTAGTGCCACTGTTGGGCTGTGGCCGCCCCCTCTGTTTCTTATTAACTGCAAACAGGGGGACGGTCCTATTTGCAATTAATAATGTTCCAATTATCATTAGTTTTCGGTTGGATAAATGCTACCAAAAATTCAATTCCTCTCTTCCCCCTCCTGCCATTATGATCTTAGTCAACATCTCTCACCTCTTATGGGACAAAGCTTCCAAATTTTAGGGTTTTTCTTTCTTTATATAATTCTCCAATGTGAAGCACAACTTCCCAAGTCACCACATACCCTACACACAGCCAAAAACAAAACCCAAAATTTAAAATAATTTTCTAAGGTCTCTAATCCAATCCAATCCGTACCGGACCGCTCCGGATCAAACCGATTGTTGGATCAGATCACACCGAATCAAATATAATGTGGTTCATTCATTGCTTTCTTAATTCTATAAAAACTGAAGTAAAATGGACCGAATTGACAATTCGTGCGAACCAAAGCTGACCACACCATACCGAATGCATTGATGCTCCGGTCCTTGATCCTAATATTTCTATTTATTGGATTATGATTCTCATGATTTAGTCCGGTCCGATCCGAACTGAACCGTTGCACAACTCTGCCCTACACAGCCAAAACGAAAACCAGAAATTAAACATTTATAATATTTTTGAAAATTTTGTAAGTTCTCTAATCCAATCCCAATGGTCCTCGTCCCTCCCATCAAGCATGTTCTTGTGGGGATTATTTTATAGAAAAAAAATAATAATAATTTCCAGCAATTAGGAAGTAAGCTGGAAGCTGATGTGATGAATTTCCCCTGTGATGGAGAAAGAAGGAGAAGAACAAGAAAACACATAAAATAAGGGCACTTGCATCCGTTACAAGGCTACATTAGCCCGCAAAATAATGAACCTTGCCCTTCAAACAAACCCCTCCCCACCATTGATTTCAAAGGGCCTAACTCTGTATTTAAAACTTGCATGTGAGAAAGGGACCTTGTTCCCTAAAAATAAAAAGCAGCAGCAAGTAGTAGAAGCAACCCCCTTCTCTCCAAGTTCTAACCCCTTTCAAGCCTTTTTGAAAGAAACCCAATTCAAATCAGAAAGAAAGATCCAAACTTTGTGCATCTCTCTCCCATTTTCTAACCCCCTCCCTTTTTTAGGGTTGTGTCCCTAATCTGCCAGTCTCTTTTGATGTGTGCAAAGCTTCCCCTGTTGTGATGCAATTATGTGAATGCAAGGTGGTGGTGTGACATGGAGAGGAGGAGAAGGGTTGGCATTGTTGGAGCTGGACCAAGTGGACTCCTAGCCTGCAAGTATGTCCTCGAGAAAGGGTTCGATCCGGTCGTGTTCGAGGCCGAGGGCGATGTGGGTGGGATCTGGTCACATACGATCGCTTCCACGAGGCTTCAGAACAAGCGAAGTACGTACCGGTTCACAGATTTTCCCTGGCCCGAATCGGTCAGCGACGTGCATCCACCACACAGTGAGGTTCTCGCATACATGAAGTCGTACGCAAGCCATTTCGAAATTTACCAACACATCAGGTTTTGGTCCAAGGTGGTTGGGATAGACTATGTTGGTGAGTCATTTGAGGAGATGAAGTCTTGGGTTGTTTGGGGTGGGAGTGGGAAGCCCTTTGGTTCATTGTCACCATCTAAAGGGAAGTGGCAGGTTAGAGTTCAGGATGTCAGGAATTCAAGTGTTGAGGTGAGTTTGGGTGAAGGAATTTTGATTTTTCTAAGCCAAAGTTTGGTCAAAGTTGTGGTGGGTTTTTTGCCAATTTGATTGATAAAGTTGTGAACTTTTTGTTGTTGTTGTTGTTTGGGCAGGTTCATGAAGTTGAATTTTTGATTCTTTGCATTGGGTTGTATAGTGGGTACCCAAACATCCCAGATTTCCCTCCAAATCAAGGCCCTGAGGTTTTCAAGGGCAAAGTGGTTCATTCATGGGACTACTCAACAATGGGTAGTGAGAAGGCAGCTGAGTTTGTGAAAGGGAAGAGAGTTGCCATTATTGGCTCTCAGAAGACTGCAATTGACATTGCTGCAGAATGTGCCAAGGCAAATGGTACAATTTTCACTATCTAGTCCTTCCTTTTTGTTTGTTTTCCTCATTTGGCCCCAACTAATTCCTTGGTTTGCAAAACAGGACCTGAGTTTCCTTGCACAATGATCCAAAGAACAACTCACTGGACAATCCCAAGTGAGACTTTGCTAGGGATCAACATTGGGTTCTTGTACTTGAACCGCTTCTCGGAGTTCTTGATTCACAAACCTGGTGAATCACTCCTTCTCAGCTTGTTAGCCACATTCCTCACACCACTGGTAATTTCCGTTTCTGTTACCACTCTATGCGGGTGTTTTGCTTCGTCGTACTTATTAACGTGACCATATTTGCTTCAATTGTATTTGAGTCGTATATGTAATAAGTAAAAACTTGTTAATGGGTTCGCTGCACTTGCATCGAGGAAAAAGAAAACGTAGGTGGAGCCAACTCTCTAAAGCGGACTTTAGTCTATCATCTTGTAACGTATATGTTGTATCATGTTTATTTTTGCATATACGACCTTTATTAGGAAACCGTTTCAGCAGGACAAAACACGTGAGACTCGACTTTCTAGAGCGCATTCAACATCTCTTAACTTTTGTACATTTTAGAATACGTCATCTCAATGCCGATTAGATTTCATTTCACCCTATTAGTTAAAAGTTAAAACACAACCAAACCGGTCCAATCAATTTTTAAATTCCATGCTGAATTCTCTTCCTCTGTTTTCTGTTTGGTCAGAGATGGGGAATCTCCAAGATGATAGAGTTCTACCTGAGATGGAAGCTTCCACTGAAGAGACATGGGATGGTTCCAAAGCTCAGCTTCTTCCAGGACGTGTCCTCGTGCCACATCTGCATGTTGCCCGACAAGTTCTACGACAAGGTGGAAGAAGGAAGCATCGTCATCAAGAAATCCAAAACCATAAGATTCTGCGAGAATGGCGTCTTGATCGACGAAGAAGGTCAATCGGAGCCTGTCGTGGAAGCCGACGTGGTGATCCTGGCGACAGGTTACAGGGGCGACCATAAGCTCAGAGACATCTTCGATTCCCCTGCTCTGCAGAAAACCATCTCTGGTTCTTCTTCCATTGTCCCACTCTACAGGTCAGTCCTACAACTCCTTCCACCCAATGTTTGAGAAAGTACACACCGGTCGGACCAGAAATTACTAAAAACCAGAATGTAGACGGTTTTAGTTATAGGACACGGTTGGACCACAATTTTATTACAAAATATCATATTACTAAATTTTCGGGTATAACCTTAGCTACGTTTTCACAATTCTTGCCGTTCACCACAAATTTTTTTTTAGAAAAAAGCTTTATCATAGCTTGTTGGAGGTGGTTTCATATTACTGAATGATAACATTTGTATCGACTAACATGTGCACTACTAAAGTCACATTGAAGTTTTGTTTGATGTTGTTGAGAATCTCCTTCTATATGTTCATCAACCAGTTTTATTCAATTAGACATTATAATCCGTTTCAATCATGTTCTCTTCGATAAATTACCCACGTCTCGATTTTTATGAATGTATTTTCTAATGGGTATCTTGGAACGTGTTGTGTTCAGACAAGTGATCCATCCTCGAATCCCGCAGCTGGCGGTGATCGGGTATGCGGAGAGCCTGTCGAGCCTATACGCGACGGAGATCAGGTGCCAGTGGCTAGCCGAGTTTCTCGTGGGGAAATTCGAGCTTCCGAGCGTGAGCAAGATGGAGGAGGAAGTGAGCATTTGGGAGAGGTTCCTGAGGAGGCACAGTGGAGGGAAATCAAGGAGGGCATGTATTAGCAACATCCACATATGGAACAATGACCAGTTCTGTAAGGACATGGGATTCCCTACTAGGAGGAAGAAAGGGTTTCTAAGGGACTTGTTTATGCCATATGGACCTAGTGATTACACTGGTCTTCTTGCTGACCGAAAAATTCATAAGGGTCCCTTTTTCCTCTACTAAAGGTTCAATCTTTGGCATTTTAAAGGGGGGGAAAGTGGTGATAAGAAAAGGAAAGATGTGTGTTATGTGTAAGTGTAAGTGTTTGGTGATTTTTTTGTACACATCAAATTGTACTTGTTTTTAGCTTCTTTGTTTTTTTTAATGTATAATAGGAGGAGATTAGTGTATGAGTGTATGAACCAATCCACCAAAAAGAAGAGAAATACCCAAGTGTTGGAAAGGGTTGATGCATTTTTTTTTGTCTTTCCCTTGTCTTTGTAAGTTTTTAAAGAGCCAAATAGATGTGGCCAATGTTTAGATTATTTAAGAATTAAGCTCACTTGTAATAGCATTTAAAAATGAACAGTTGAAAAGTGATTTCTTGTATGTGATCTGCCTCAATTGAGATGCATGTAGTTGATGGTTTGAATTTAGTCATTTTAATCACTAAACTCATGTATTAATTTCTTGCTCCAGAGGGGACTCTAACTTGTGAAAGCAGTTGACAGGAAAGGATTAGCCTAATGCTCATTTTTTAGATAAGAGTAACATAAGATTGTTTTCATTATAAAATACCTCCTTGAGAAATTCAAACTTGAAATCTTCATTCGTAAAATAACACTCCCTCTTTAACTGACAATTATCCATTCTGTTTCTAATACATTACACAGGTACGCCATACAAATAATACAATACAAGAACACAGCCAAACCAACCACACGTCCACACCCCTCACAGCTCCTACAAACCAGTTGATGTTTCTTATTCTATTACTTTCTTCTTCTACTTCCTGTCTCTGGGGGGTAATTTTTCATTATTTAGACAGATACTTTCACATATCATACAGAAGCAAGCCACCAAGCCAGAGCCTCTCCCTGCAAAAGCACGAGAAGAATCCACTTGCAGTGGTCTGTTGCCAATTTACTTACCCTGCAGCAGCACAAAAGAAAAGTTACAACATTGTTAAACTACCCATCGGATTCCCTTCCTCCATGAAAGTCTGCATCTTTTCAAACATCAAATGCCTTACCAAGAACCGCTTGCTGTAGAGCTCCACGACCTGTGCCTTTGTACCTTCCAGTTTCGTCTGTTTGTAAGCCTCCAGTTTGTTCAACTCCTGCAAGAGCAATTGGATTGTAAGTCCGGTTAAGGCGCAGCTCAGGCTGCAGTGCTGGAACTTTGGTTTTGCCTCATACCTCGATCCAAGCTGCAAGTTTTGGCCTTCCTTCGGTGATATCATACTTGAACACTTCCGAAAGGAAGATCTGAAACCTCTCGACGAATGGAATGTAGGCAATGTCCACCTGGCGAGACACAAGAAAACAATTTGATAACTGACGAACACATGTTATGGCTTCTTGGACGATTAGCGGAAAATGCATCATCATCCAACTTACCTGACTGAACCTATCACCAAGGAAGAAAGGTCCATCGTCGAATTTCGACAGAGCTGCTTCCAGATGATCAAAAGCAGGGCCTGAAACAATGTCACAACAAAATTTAGATCTAATCAAACTTGTCAATCACTACCGAATCGAGGAAAATCATGTAATGGAAACACATACCAACTTCCTTCACTGCATCTCCCTTGAAAGCAGAGAACACCGTTCCAGTAAAAGTATCGGTGTATGCAGACAACTCTTCTGCCAACTGCTTCTTCGCAGGATCCTGCACAGATTCGGTTCGGGTGTGGCTAAATTGAAACTGGAAGGTTCATACAAACACAGTGGATTTAAGGTTTTACCAATAAGCACAATCAATCTTACATCAGGGAGAAGAGAAGGCCCTTCAAAGTTGCTATCTAAGTACTTGATCAAATCCAAGCTCTCTCCTATGATCTTGCCATTGTGCTCAAGAGCTGGCACCTGGCGAGCCGGGTATTAAGTCAAACAAACAAACAAACAAACGGGTGCAACGGTAATCCATGTATTGGTTGTTGGTACTGAGATTTTCTCAATGTTCATTCAGAGAGAACAAGTTTTGCACCTTATTAGTGGGATAAACTTTCTCGGCGTACCAAGCAGGCCTGTTACTAAGATCTATGCCGACTAGCTTGATCTTGTCTTGTAACCCCTGCATCCCACCAAAACCCGCACCCAGCAAATTACGATCGACCCATTTGATTCAGATTATTGCCCATTGGAAAGGGGGAAACGAAAAATGAGAGCTACCCACCTTGAAATTCCTAGTGATCCAAACCCTCTGAGCAAAAGGGCATCCGTAATAGGTGTACAGCCTTGAATCAAGAATCAATTTCAGCATTTTAGAACTGACCTAAAATGGGCTCCGAGAAAAAAAAAGGTAAAGTGAGGGTTTTTCGAACCTGGTGACGCCATCGAAAAGTGGAGGTGGCTCCGACGAAGCATCGAGCGCCGGCGGCAAGATCTCGGGCACGGATTTATCCAGACTGTTCTCAAATCCCAAACACAAACAACCCAGAACCCAATTCAGATTGATCGAGCTCTAACGAACAGTGCCGAACTGTAAGTAAGAAAATGGGGGGAATTCGACTTCTTACGCTGTGGCTGCCATTGTCGAGTTGTTTGATTTGAGACGCTAGCTGGCTTTTACGAGTCTCCAGATGATTCGGTAGTGGAATGTGGGTTGATGCAGAGAGATATATAAAGAGAACGGGGAAAGGGTGAGCAGATTCAGTGAATGTACTGAAGAACAGTACAGAGCAGAAAACGGTGCTTATTATCCCAACTTGCTTGACACTATCCATAATTTCCATGGGACATGAGAGAAGCAGTGACGACATAGCAATGGAGATGCGGCATTTGGTGGGGACGAATCGTGGCGGAAATCGTATAGAGCCGGGATTCTGGACTAGGGGGCGCCAAAAAATTTCTTTTATTTTGTTTCCAAGTTCCAATACTCATGTACTTATCAATTTGATAATTCAGAAAGAAAATTATTGTCATAATTCAAAATTTTAGATGAAACCTAGCACTAAAATATAGTAATCAAGATTTGACCATTTTATAAATAGAACCGTGATAATTTTTTGAATTAATTAACTTACAAAGACAGGGTAATTGTTGGGCCAAATATTGAGGCACACGGGGCCCAAGCCCACAGAGTCACCAAAAGCCAATGAAAAGGAAGGCCCACCCAAGCAGGGGCAAAAGCACCATTCGGAGGCGGTCCTCACCTGCCTTCGAATGAAACCGCCCGACATCCGGGCCTGCCCAGAGTAGGCGATCGCCCGACAATACGGTCTAACGGACTTCTGTCCTTCAGGTACGGAATCTGACAAGAGATACGACCAGAATAAGCATTTAATGAAGGCAGAGGCGACCCTGAACGCCCGACAAGCTATTAAATGCGCACAACACCACCAGAACTAGTATAAATACCCAATGACAGGGCTCATTTATGGTAACTTCGACCAACTCCATTCTCTCTCTTATTTACTCACACTTTACTTCTCTCTCTAACTTAAGCATCAGAGGAGGTCCCAGGATCCCCCTGAGGACCTTTCTGCAGGGCTTCGGAGACCGCCCTCGACCATCGAAACCGCCCAAGGCCAGTGGAGTCTCACAAACCGCTTGGGACATTCCAAGCACAAACATTTTGGCGCCCACCGTGGGGCCCTACTACTTTGTGGCGAACGAGATGGGAGACGACTTGGAAATCCTCCTCAAGGGGATGACCGAAAACAACACCCTCCGAGGCTTATCACCGAGGGTTGAAGATGAACCCGAGCTGGAAGAAGTGGTCAAGAATCAAGGGATGCAAATTGCAAGCATGCAAGACAGCCTCTCCCAAATTCTTCAGCTCCTGAAGACCCGAGATGACCCCGCCGAGGGATCGAGGGGGAAGACACGTGACGAGAAGCTGAAAGGCGCCCTCATCCTCGACAGCCCTGCTCGGGCAGAAGGCGGAAGACCAGAGGCCGACGACCTGGATCTTAACTTTCTAGAGGAACATCTGCGGTCAACCTTTGGGAAGCACAAGAGCCCGAACGTTCTGCAACCCCTATCAAGAGAACTCTTCAAGACTCCGGTCCCCCCAAACTTCTCCTCTCTGGGACTACCTACCTACGGTGGGACATCCGATCCCGCCGACCATCTTTGCGCGTTCATGTTAAAGATGCAACTTATCAATGCAACAGACTCTGATCTGTGTCGTGCGTTCCCGGTTACCTTCAACGGTCAATGCCGAACATGGTATACCTCCCTTCCAGAAGGGATTATAGAAAACTTTGAGCAGTTTGCGATGTTCTTCTCCACCAAATTCGCGTCTCAACGGCGTCGCAAACTCACCGTCTCGGCACCCATAGGTTGCCGACAGAGGAAGGAGGAGCCGCTTGCTGAGTTCTACGACCGATGGAACGCGATAGCTTGCGAAATAGACGGCATTTCCTCAGTCGTAACCGCCGGGAACCTCCGAATCTCGACGACTAGTCTCGAGCTGAAGAGAACGTTGATAAAAAAGGAGGCGACCCTGGCGGCCTGGTTTGACTTAGATCAATTGGTACGCCGAGCGATCTTATTTGAAGAAGCGCTAGCCAACGATGACCGAGGCCAGCAAGGCCGCCCCCGCGGAGACGCCTCAGAGCGCGGAGACTCCCGGAGAGGAAGGCGGTCCCCAGACCGAAGGTCGTACCGAAATAGGTACACCGATCGAGAAGGAAGAAGAGACGTCCTTTCCACTGACAGGGAAAAGGGAAGAGATCGAAGGAAAGGTGGAAGGAAGCATGAGACCTCTTCCGCCCAAGAACCGCAGGAAGGGAAAAAGTGGTGCGACTGGCACCAAATCATGACCCATGACACCACAGAGTGCAGAGAGTTCAAGGCCACGCTTCGTCATCTGGCCCCAGGAGACCTAAGAAGCAAGCTAGAAATGAGGCGGTCCCACAGAGAGCACTCAGCAGAAGAGCGGGAGGAGTCTCCGAGTCCTGAGCAGGACAAGACAAGACGTACAAGAAAGGAGAGGTCAAGATCCCGCTCTCGAAACAAGGTCACCTCCCCCCGGAGGGAGTCTCCTCCCTACAGAGCACCCCGAAATGACGATGATGGAATGGAAGTCATAACAATCGCAGGAGGGCGAAAGCGCCCAAGAACCGAAGGAGATCGCATCGCTCAATGTCTCAACGTGCAACGCAGAGCACCGACAGAAGTCGCCTTCTTGCCCTCTGAGTTGGCCAACGAAGAAAACTCGGAGGATCCCATGGTCATTTCCTTTCGGACCGCCAAGTTCAAAGTCACCAGAGCCCTGGTCGACAACGGGAGCTCGGCGGATATACTATTCTACTCAGCGCTCAAAGGGATGAAAAAGAGCGTCCAAGACCTCAGTCCTTCCAACACCAGCTTGGTAGGGTTCTCCGGCACCAAAGTCCGCGTCCTCGGCTCGATCACACTCAAAGTCACCATAGGAGAAGGAGGAATCACAAAGACCAGACCCGTAGAGTTTCACGTGGCGGATTATCCTTCGGCATATAATGCCATTCTTGGACGATGTTTCCTAGCTTCGTTCGAGGCGGTTGCATCCACATGCCACCAGATGCTTAAGTTTCCAAGCGGAGGACAAACCGGGCGCGTCCAGGGTAACCTAAAAGAGGCTAAAGAATGCTACCAAGCAACCATCGAACACCTCGAAGTCGATCTGGTCGACACAAGAGGTGACGTTCCGAGACCGGAAGCGGTTGAAGGAGATGTGGCGGTCGCTCTCGACGCAGAGCGACCAGAGAGGACGGTGCGTATTTCCACGCACCTCGCCCAAGAGGAAGCTCAGAAGCTGCTCGCACTCCTCAGGGAGTTCCAAGACCTCTTCGCGTGGGGACCGGAGGACATGCCCGGAGTTCCCCGTAAAGTCTCCGAACACCGCCTCTCAGTCAAAGCCAAAGCGCGTCCCATACAGCAGCGAAGGAGACACCTGTCAGTCGAAAAACAAATGGCACTGGAAGAGGAGGTGCGTCGCCTCCTCAAAGCCGGATTCATCAGGGAGGTAAAGTACCCCACTTGGCTCTCAAATCCAGTCTTTGTACGCAAGGCTGGAGGCGCTTGGAGAATGTGCATCGACTTCACCAGCCTCAATGCGGCCTGCCCCAAGGACGCATATCCTCTCCCCCGTATTGATCAGCTCATAGACGGGACTGCCAACCATGAAGCTCTCAGCTTCCTAGATATGTTCTCTGGATACCACCAGATCCGAATGGCGGACGAGGATCAAGAACTCACCGCTTTCATGACTCCAATGGGCAACTTCTGCTACGTAGTTATGCCCTTCGGGCTGAAGAACGCGGGGGCAACCTATCAGCGGATGGTGGATGCAGTCTTTAAGGAGCAAATGGGCAGGAACGTAGAGGCCTATGTTGACGACGTGCTAGTCAAAAGCAAGAAAGCAAGCGACCACATGTCCGACCTGAGGGAAACCTTTGAAACACTAAGGAGGAAAAATCTAAGGCTCAACCCACTCAAGTGCGTCTTCGGCGCCGAGGCGGGAAAATTCCTAGGGTTCATGATCACGAAACGAGGGATTGAAGCCAACCCAAAGCAAATTGAGGCCATACGCGGTTTGAAGCCGCCAAAGACCATCAAAGAGATCCAAGCGTTCAATGGAAAGATGACCGCACTCGGAAGATTCATCCCGCGGTCCGCAGACAAATGCTCTCCTTTCTTCCAAATGCTGAAGAAGTCAGCATCAAGGCTCCGATGGGGCGCCGAGTGCGATAAAGCCTTCCAGCTACTGATAGACCAGCTCAGCAAGCCACCAGTCTTGAGCGCTCCCGTCAGTGGGGAGCGGCTCTACTTATACCTAGCGGTCTCCGAGCAAGCTGTGAGCTTTGTCCTAGTGCGAAGGGCGCAAGACGGCTCCGACCGACCAGTTTACTACGTAAGCAAGGCGCTTCTTCCTGCCGAAACGAGATACTTACCCGTCGAGAAGGCGGTTCTAGCAGTAGCCTCCGCGGCCAGAAAATTAAGACCATACTTTCAAGAACACTCGATCACGGTGCTATCTCACCTCCCTCTCAAAAGCATTATGAGAGGCATGGACGCCTCGGGACGGCTGACCAAGTGGGCAATCGAGCTGAGCGAATACGACATCGGGTATGCCCCGAGGCCCGCCATCAAAGGGCAGGTCTTGGCTGATTTCATCGCCGAAGGTTTCTCCCTCGAAACCACGCCCTCCGAAGAGTGCAATCAGGTATGGCGTTTGTTCATAGACGGCGCAGCCGGAAAAACCGCCTCAGGGGCAGGAATTGTCATCGAGTCGCCCGAAGGGGTAGTACATGAAATTTCGCTGAGGTTCAAGGAGATCAAGACCAACAATGTCGCTGAGTATGAAGCACTAATCAATGGGCTTCGGATATTGTCCACCCTAGGGGCAACTGACGTGCAAATATTCTCCGACTCTCTCCTGGTCGTCAAACAGGTTCTCGAGGCGTTCGAAATCAAAGATGAGACGCTAGCGACATTGGCTACCAGGGCGCGAGACGCCCTGTCCCAATTGAATTCGTGGAAACTAGAGCATGTCCGGAGAGAGGACAACCAACATGCAGACGCGCTTTCCAAACTCGCAACCGCCATGGACTTTTAAGGAGACCGGCACGTCACCGTCACTAAAGAAAGTGAATCCCCAGAAGAAGTCATGAGCGTCGAAGAAGCCGCCGACTGGAGGACCCCCATGATCCAATACTTGGAGCACGACGTCGCACCACAACACCCGGTCGAACGGAAGGCACTCAAACGAAAGGCGGCCCGGTATTCGATGGTGGACGGCCAACTGTTCAAAAGATCATTCTCAGGAGCCTACCTGAAGTGCCTAGGGGTGGAAGAGGCTAAGTGGACCTTAAGAGCAATACA